AAGTAAGTTAAAAATGAGTCCCTCTACTAGGTTTTGATTTTATCAGATGATTTGTCTTACATGAGAGTGGATTAGTAAGAGGGAAATCTCTTGTGCTTTGTGAATCAATCAATTTAGGTTTGTTTGACTGTTTATACCTGCCATTAATATGGAATTTGTGTGTAGTTCTATGTATATCTGTTTCCTAAAAGGGCCTTCGTTTGGGAATTTCATTTGTTTGACTATAAAACCTTAAACATTTGCGGCTTTAGAATTGTTAATTTTTTCCACTGTTGAAATTTGATGCTAGTCTAGAGAAATTAAAATGTTAGTCCAGAGAAATTTGTGAAAGGTTCAAGGGTCAGAGAAATTTGATGTTAGTCCAGAGAAATTTGTAAAAGGTTTAAAGGTTTTTGATGTTAGTTTAGAGATCTAGAGAAATTTGATTTTAGTTTAGAGAAATTTGAATATTAGTCCAGAGAAATTTGTGAAAGGTTCAAGGGTTTTTTATGTTAATCCAGAAATTCAGAGAAATTTGATGTTAGTCCAAAAAAATTTGAATGTTACTCTAGAGAAATTTGTGAAAGGTTCAAGGATTTTTAATATTAGTCCAGAGATCCAGAGAAATTTGACTGTTAGTCTAGAGAAATTTGGTTCAAAGGTTTTTTATGTTAGTTTAGAGAAATTTGAATGTTCATTGCTTTGTGGGTGATCTGTTCAAGAAATTATATGCTGCTGGTCTTACAGTGCTCGCTTCCCTCTTGCTGCGGGTCTCTCAGTTGATCGCTGGAAGTTTATTTATTTCTGTTTTATTTGGTTACCTTATTTCCTACCCAATTGGCATGTAATTGGGTTCTTTGTTTTGTGGTTGGTTCTACTGTAATGGGTTTTGGTTTTCCCTTCGGGGGAGGTCTTTGAAATATGTTCTGGTAAGTTTAGGCAGTCTATTGTTATCATTCATTGTTGCTGGGTCATGGCATTGCTTTTGTATATTGGGTTTGTGTCTTAGCTCCAGGTGGTTATGTTCGGTACTTGGTTAATTGGGTTGATTGTTGCTGTTATTGCTCAAATGAGCATTATTCTTTCAAGTAACTTATCCAAATTTAATCAAACATTGTGCTTATCTAGGATAAATTTGCTAGCTGAGGCAGTGTGTAATTTCTCTGGACCAACTCAGAGGAAAAATCAGTCCAAATCAAAGAATTTCTCTGGACCAACCCAATTTTCTCTGAAACAGAGCACTAGTCCTCATTGTTGTCCAGAGAAATTTGGAATTTTCTCTATGATGTGTCCAGAGAAATTTGAAATTTTCTCTGTGATGAATTTTCTCTGGATCGAATTTTCTCTGGATCGATGCTGAGGGACCTTAGACATTATGAAAATATTGAGTGTCCTTTATACTATAAAATCTTAATATCAGGGACCTTAAAAAAAATTCCCAAAAAAAAATTGACATAATTTTAAACAAAAGCACTAAAGACATAGGTAGTGTTTGGTTTAGTTTTGAAATCATGATTCCAATAAAAAATTTCAAAACTCATAACTAAACACACAATTTAAAACTCAATTCAAAAATTATTTTCAAAACTCATAATCAAACACATAACTTAAAACTCAATTCAAAAACTCATTTCAAAATTCATAACCAAACTCTTTTCAAAATTCTATTAAAAAAAAAAATTCATTTTTTTTATTTTGTTCTTTAAAATTATTTTTATTTTAATTTTTTTGAAAAAATATAAATTTAAAAAAATATTTTTTCTTTATTTTTGAAGAAAAATATTCTTATTTTATTTTATTTTTTTGAAAAAAATATTTTGTTATTTTTTTAAGTGTTGGTAAAATAATTTGTTATGTTTTAGATATATACGAGTAATCCAAAACTTTTTAAAATTATATTTAAAAAAAAAGTGATTTTTTTTTAAAAAATATTAAAAATATTAAAAAAATAAAAATATTTTAAAAAATACAGTGCACACATGTAAATACAACATACATTAAAATAAATAAATAAATATTTACAATAAAAATATTTACACTAAAAAATAAAATTAAGAAAAGTTTTAGAGTAAATTGCATTGACAACCCCCTTGAGATTTGGTCCGATTACATCCCACTCCATGATGTTATGAAAATTACATTTCCACCCATGTAGTTAATAGTCTCATTTCACAAACCCTTATTTATATAAAAGGTAACAATTTTAGGTAAAAAAACAGATGAGATTACATTGAAAAAAAGTAAAGCAAATGAAAAAAAAAAAAAAAGACAAAAGAAGTAAACAAAGCAAGAAAATAGAATGCATGAGTTCAATGTCTTCATTCCGTCTAAATAATTACAATGATAGGGGAGTTAGTGTAATTTTTCAAACGTCAAGGTATGATATGTATTACAGTCAAATTTCAGGAGGTGTAAGCGTAATTTACCCTTTGAAATTTAATATAATAAATTTTATTATAAATAAACTCTCAGAAAAATATCATAAATAAAAAGTAAGAAATGATGATTAAATGTCATAAATTAATGGGGAATTTAAAATCTTATAGTAAAATGTAATATAAATTTTATATTAATGATAACGAAAAATAATTAATCTTATCAAAATAATGTAACAATAGTATTTTTAAATTCATAAACTATTTTAACGAATTGTTTGATTTAAAATGGACATATATAAATTTATCATGTTATTTTCGTTAAATATTTTATATTTATATATTACTAAGGTACTTACAATTGTTTGTTATGAAAGAAATGATGCGTAAGCACTAAACAAACAAGTATATAATAATGACACAAAATATGATAACAAAATTAAAGATCACACATAGAAATAAGGTAAATTTTAATACATAATTTATACGTAAAAAATATTTTAGAGGAAAATACTTACGGAGAGAGTGTTTGACGGAGACTACTCGCTTGTTAACACAAAACACACACACTATAGACTCTACTACAAGGGTCTATATATAGACTTTACTACACGAATTCGAAATAATGTTATGTCTGTGGATTTTATTTAAAATTGGCGACGATCCTCTCTCCCTCTTTCTCCTCTGTTCTTCCTCCTCTCTTCTTCCTCTCTTCTCTCCCTCTCCCTCTTTCTCCTTTGCTTCTTCCTCATCTCTTCTCTCACTCTTTTGAGCCAATTCGAGCCATTGGATTCGAGCTACGGCTCATTTCCGAATTTGTTTTAAACAAATGTGACTTTTTTTTAGGTGTACGGCAAATACACAATAAACCTCCAAATTGAGGAGTTTTTTTTTTAATATTCTTAAAATTAATTATTTTTTATTTATGATTTCTTAACCAAATTAATTTTTAATTTTTAAAAAAAATTTCTAAAAATCAAACCATACACAACCTAAGAATCTTTTGATAAGTCATTTCTTATGTTGGTAACTTATTTAATTATTTGTTAATTTTACGACATTTTTATCATTTGAGGCCTGTTTGGTAACCATTTCGTTTTCAGTTTTCAATTTATATTTACAAAAATTTTAAAAACTGTTATAAAAACTTGTTTGATAATTTTTTTGGTTTATAAATGATTATCTCAGTTTGTAAATTTGAGAAAAAAACGTAAATTTAAAAAATGAGTTTACGTTGGTTTTAAACAAAAATTTTAAAATTTTAAAAACAAAGCTTTTTTCAATTAATTTTTTTCCCAATGAATTTTTTTTTCAGTGAATTTTTTTTCCAACTAATACTAACCGATGGGGCAATTGGTAATTCTACTTTAAATCTTAGGGAGGGGATTGTAATTTTCAAAATGTGAGGGGTGTCAATGTAATTTACCTAGTGAGGGCAAAATTAGTATTTAAAAAAATTAAATTGCTAAGGCAGGAAATCTGTAATGAAACTTTATACTTCAAGGGGGAGATATAATTTCCAAAAGGTGAGGGAAGAATTGTAATAAATATAAATTTCAGGGGGTGTCAGTGTAATTTACCCATAAAATTAATATTTTAAAATTCTTTAATTATGATCTATCAAATAAGACCCATGTTAACTATGAAATCCTTTATTAAAAAAAATTATTACCTTTGATATTGATATAAACAGTAACAGTAAAATGCTATTCTGTCTCACAGTAACATATTATTCAGTTTGACAATTACTCTGTTTGGCAGTAACATATTACTCTGTCAATATTATCCAAGAAAGAAGGAAAAAAAAATATTTTACTTTATCTTTACTCAATTATGTATTTTCTCTACTAAAGGGGTTTATAAAGAAAAATAAATTGGGTGGTCATTTTCACCATCCAATGAAGAGTTTTTTTTTTTTTGACGAAATTTTCCAATTTTAATTAGGGCTGAGTAAGGAATCCGTAAAATCTGTAATCCGATCCAGTCCAGTCCAATCTTGTAGGTTTGGATTAATTTTTTGAATCCGTGGTTCGGTTCTAGATTGAAAAATTAAAAATCCGTAGTTCATGGATTGGTTCCGGATTGAACCCCACGGTTCCGGATTAGAACCGATCCGGACCGTATACAAATAGTCTATATTTTTATTACACACCATTCTATATAGTATCTTTTTTTATTTCATATAAAACTTAAATCAAAACCTAAATTTACATAGTATCTTCTTTTATTACTTTTGTTAGCTAGTTTTTAATATTAATTTGTAATGGTCTAAATACTTATAGTGGAACTAGTTTTCTTATGGTTGTTTAAATTCTAGAGCAGTTTGTCGCTATTACGAAAAAACATGTTACTATTGTGAAACTAATATGATACTATATTTATATTTTCATGAAATTAAAGTGTTATATATATATATATATATTGTTATTTAATTATATAAATCCGTAATCCCAAACCGATCAAATCCGTGTTTGAATGAATTAGTTCGGATTAGTTCCACGATTTAAACAAATTAAATTAGTTCTAATTTTTTAGAATATGTAAATAACGAATTGGTTTTAATTTTATTCCAATCCGATCAATGCACACCACTAATTTTAATCCGCGAGAAGAAGTAAAGGTATCCAGGCAACCAAACACCCCCCCCTGTGTACGCCAACGAGACAATTCAACTCCTTTCTTGTTCTCTATCCAGTGTCTCTCCGTTCCAAATCATCAGATAATTCCAACCCTAACCCACTTCAGCTCCCAAACACCTCTCCTTTTCTCTCTGATCTCTCTCTACAAAACTAGGGTTTCTCACAACGAATCTCTGCTATTTTACTCCAAATCTCAAGACCCTCCATAGCCAACCATGGACGCCCAGAGAGCTTTGCTCGATGAACTCATGGGTGCAGGTATTTTTGGCTTCATTTATCTCCAAATTTGATTTGCTTGGTGTGTTTTCTATTTTTTTATTTTATTTTTGGGTTTGCTCCTAATTTTCTTCCAAAATCCCAATTTTTTTTTCTTCTTTATTTTTTATAATTCGGCTGGATTTGATTCATGCGAGAAAAAAAAAAAAAATAGTGTTGTTTAGCTCAAAAACCGTAATTTGGTACCAATTTTTTTATTTTGATTTGGACTAGGAGTGGAATTGATTTGATGCTGATGTGATTTATTTATTTGTTTTTATTGTTGGTGTATATGTAAGCTCGTAATCTCACTGAAGAAGAGAGAAAGGGGTACAAGGAAATCACATGGGATGATAAGGAGGTCTGTGGATTGTACATGGTTCGGTTTTGTCCCCATGATCTTTTTGTCAATACGCGGAGCGATCTTGGTTAGTTTTATTTATAAATTACTGAATTATGATTTTTAAGTTACCGGGAAAATGTAGGAAAACCGGAAGCTGTAAAAGTTTGAATCATATTCATATCATTTATGTTGAAGTTTCGAGATAATTAAATTGGACAATCTAGTTTATTAGGTCTATTAGTTGCATTGGGTTAACTATAACTGAAGATTTGGTTTTCAATTTTTGATTTCTCTTTTTTTGTTCCTACATTTTCCTGTAATAAGTGGGACATTTTTCCGATGTTTGAAGAGTGTTTTTTGTGTGCTAATTATGGCTATTATTGTGTTTTGTTGGATCAGGACCATGCCCTAGAATCCATGATCTGAAGTTGAAGGAAAGGTAATTGGATGAACATTGGTTGGATTTTTAAATATATATTTTTTGTTATAGGGTTATGTTTCTGGGTGTATTTATTTATTTATTTATTTTTTCGTCTTTTGAACATTTGTGAAGAACTTCACATTGTGGACAATCAACCATAAAAGGAATATAAAAAATTGTATGGCATCATGTGTACGTAAATGAGCTCGTTAAATGTTAACTTTCATTAAAAACTCTTTTTTTTTTTCCACTTATTTGATCCTTTTTGAGTAAGTTGTATTACATGTGCTGTAGGATGGAACTTAAATATGAGTCACACGCATTGTATGCTAATAGGACATATGGAGTTCTGGGTCTTGTGGCTGTTTCTCTGTGAGGTAACCGATCTAAAGATTTCAGATTATTGTGTGAAGGGAGAATCCCAAATCATCGAGTTGATTCAATGAGTTGTTACATTGCCTAGAAATATAAAAATTTCCAGTTTTCTAGACAGAATTGTTATTGTCTTGTGCTCTTGCACCCTATCCTCTTTTGCCCCACAATTTGGGCAGTTATGCAATTAAAAATTTGTCTACAAAAGCATAGGCAGCTTTTGCAGTTATAAAAGGATTAGTCTTTTTGAAAGAGCTTCATAGGCTTTGAACTTGTGTTCCATGTTCTGTCAATGATAAGATATGTTTGTTGCTATATAGATATATGTTTTTGTATTAGGGCATCTTTTCCTTCTTTTGTTATTATTATATTTCTTTTATAAGTTTATGAGGGCATCTATCGAAGTACGAATGCAATTCGCATTTAATGGTAGCATTTGGTAATGTTACGTTTTTTGTTTATGTTTTACAAAAATTTGTAAACCGGTTTTTGTTTTTTTTTTTTTGAAAAAACAAAAACCACTACACATCTGGTTTGAAAGCTTTAAAAAGGAAAAAAAAAACATGTTTGTTAAGGCCTAAAGTTAACATAAATAATAGGGTATACTTATGTGTTTACATATACTGTTACTGCTCACTGGAAACCAAAACCCAGAGCCAAAAGGAATGATTTATTTTGTCTCCTCACTTTTCAACCCCCAAAATCACATCATCCCACAACCCAAAAATTTCAAATAACTTGTATATATAATTATAAACGTACACATGTATATAGTGAGCAATGTCGAAGTGCTTTAGCTTAACTGTATCAAGAAACTGGTGCAACAGATCCTACTTCTCGAATGCGTGGGTCCGATCCACAGTCACAGACCTTGGCAATGCCATCATGCGAGCCAATTTGTTGCTGATACATGGGTCCAGATCCCGTGCAATGTGGCAGTGGGGGAAGATTGTTAAAAATTGCTTCAAAGAAGAGTCGAATCCAGAACAAACTTAAGTTTAGGGATTGTTACCGTTTGCGTTTTTTCCTTTCCGTCAACAGTTTATGAACAAATGTAGCCAAGACTTTTGAGTTTAGGGTTTTGTGCCCAATCTAAACAAAATTTGTTACCAAACATGTTTATATGGTAGTTTTAAAATTTGTTTAGATAAAAAACTGTACGTAAAAGTTACCAAACAGGCCCGTAGTTTTCCAATTGAATTTAAATATGAAGGTATCTTGAATAAGCATTATAGGTTTTCTCTTTTTTTAATTGTTTTTGTTCTTTCTTGTCACAAAATTTGTCAAAAACTGGATAGACGTATATCGTCTGATTTAGGGGCTCCATTATGAATTTAAACTGTGGACGACCTAGATATAAATTTACTTTTAGTGCATCAAGCAAAATTTCTTTGTCAATCTTTAAATATTGAACTACTTAAGGAGACTAGTAAATGCGTTCACCTTCAAGTAAAAAGATATAAATTTTCAAAGCCACACCTCTATCCAATAGATGCATGCATGCTATGTTGGAAAATCATGATATTATATACCGTAACTTTTCAACGTGGACAACCATCATCCAAGAATAGATAGGACCAACAATTTGGGATAGAGGTATAGTTTTGATTGCAGGTGGTTTCATTTTCCATAAGTCTGATTTATGGACTGTTTGAACATGAATTGGACTGAGTTTCATGGAACTTGATGGTGAAGATTAATGCATGGAGGTCGCTTACATGTGGACATGAACGTGCAATGGCTGTAAAATATTAGAAGACATATCGGGAACTTCTAAATCTTGTTATTATGGTAGTGCAATTACATTTGTTGCCTTAAGACTTAAAATGTGGAAGTTTGAGGGTTCCTAATAAAGACACTTTTTGTAATTACATTTTAGGTTTTTGTATTTATGGATGTGTTGTGTGCCATTTGGAATTCTCTCATATTTTTATGGTTCCATTTTTGTATTATGGTTTTAATGACGGTGCATTGATGGCTTTAGTTTTGAGAATTCCCCAAGACATGATTCATACGTGCCAAGGTTTGAAGCAGAACTAGCTCATTTTTGTGAGAAATTGGTAAGTTCCATATGTCATTAATTTGTATGGTTTCGTGTGGCCTTTTCTTGTTTTATCTTCATAATTATTCCATCTCAGGTGATGGACTTAGATAGAAGAGTTAGGCGTGGCCAAGAACGCCTTTCTCAAGACGTGGAAGCTCCCCCACCTCCTCCAGTCTCAGCAGAAAAATCTGAGCAGTTGTCAGTGCTGGAGGAAAAAATAAGGAATCTGCTGGAACAAGTGGAAACCCTTGGTGAAGCTGGCAAAGTGGATGAAGCTGAAGCACTCATGAGAAAGGTGCTGCTAAGCATATGTAACTGATTCTGAATTCCTAGTTAGACCTATAGCTAATTTTCAATGAACTGTTAATTGGTCATTTATTAGATCCATGGAAACTTAATAACTATCTGTTGCAGGTGGAGACACTTAATACTGAAAAGACAGCTTTGACTCAGCAATCCCAGAATGAGAAAGTATTAATGCTTGCGCAGGAGAAAAAGATGGCTCTTTGCGAGATATGCGGTTCTTTTCTAGTTGCCAATGATGCTGCAGAGAGGACTCAATCTCACGTTACTGGCAAGCAGCATATTGGTTATGGCATGGTTAGGGATTTCATTGCAGAGTACAAGGTGAGGCTTCTTCCCAATAGTTTGATATTCTGAAATTCGTGTTTAAAAAAAAAAATATATATATATTTTTCTGACTTGAAAAATTGACTCCTAACTAACAGGCTGCAAAGGAAAAGGCCCGTGAAGAGGAAAGGCTAGCAAGGGAAAAAGAAGCAGAAGAACGGAGGAAGCGAAGGGAGAAGGAATTTGAGAGTAAAGGTAGAAGAAGTGATTCTGCTGATAGGGACAGGCATCGTGATCGGGATCAGGATAAGGAGCGGGACAGATACCAGGAGCGAGACCGTGACCGGGAAAGGTCTCGCGAGAGGAATAGTAGAGGAAGCCGGGATGGGGGACGAGGGCAGGATTGGAAACAAAACAATTACAGGAATGGAAGAGATGGAGGCAGGGACAGGTACCGTGATCGGAACGCATATATGAATCGTGATAGGAGCAGATCCCGTTCCCCTGTTAGGCATGGCCATAGAAGGTCATCCAGAAGTCCAGTTCGCCCATATTAATGGATTGCATAATTAGATACCTGAACTTTAAAGTCAAAAGAGGTAGACAATTTTTATTTTATTTTTTATCTTGTGAAGGTTTATGAATGTGTGCTTTTGGGATCTCAAGTTAAATTGTCATTGTGGGTGAAACATTTTTTTGTTCTCACAGCTTTATTGAGACTTTTACCATCTCCCTATCATCGATAATTAGAGGAGAAAGGGTTGAGGTAGGTATAACTTCATCGTTATGACTCCTTTTATGTTCTCTCTCAGGCTTTTGTTGAACTTAATCTCTCTTGTGGGTCACCTCTGAAATATTATTTTCAGAGTTTTTTGTCCCTTCTTTTTGGGGTATTGTTGTTGGTAACCTTAGTGAGGAGGGAAGAATTCAAATAGATATGCATGACCTATACTGCCGGTGAAGGTGATGATATCTTTTTTGCAACCTTTAAGGTAACTGAAAATTCTTGACTTGATGGTTGCACCCAGAGACTTATTTCCATGATTATTTCGTATTTGGTTTTCCTTTTCTACTGATCATTCAGTCCACAGGAGATCATGAGTTTTTTTGCCTCTCATAGGTAACTGAAAATATTTACTTGGTAGATTTATTTTCCTGATTATCGTGGATGTTGGTTTTCTTTTCTACTGATCATTCAATTGCCAGGATATCATGTGAATTTGTTTTGCAACTCTGAGGTAACTGGAAAATCTTATTGACTTTTATATGCCTGATTATCACGGATATGGGATCCTCTTCTACTGATTATTCAATTGACTTGAAACAAATTCTTGCTTACTGTTGCTGAATTTGTGTTTTATGTTTACAAGCTTCATGATTATGGTTTTCTTGGAGGTTGTCCTTTTTGCTTTGTGATAATTTACAAAAATTGGGAATCCACCTCCCATGCTTCCTGCCACTTGTATGTTTGTAGAATAAGTGGAACTGTGCATGCACTCTGCATTGAACATGACAAAGAAGGGGAGAAGGGGCGGGTTTAGGGGAATTACTAGTGTGATACTGTTCCAATTATATCCTTGCATATAATTGTCCTAGTAGCGGAGAACCTTTGGGTTTTTGCAATTTCAACTTGAAATCAGTACTAGGTATAGCTCTCATCTTTATTTATAGGATCTACATATTATTCCCCCCTCTTAGCAGCACTTCTTTTCAGCAGAAAGTGTTTACTTTTTTCCACCTGACAATCTGCTACTGTGGACTGGGCTGCGAAGCTCCATCTCTTGGAAAATTTAGAAATGCAATTGACTTGGTACCGTGAGGTAACTGAAATTTAAATCTCCGCCAATAGCATCTTTCTATGTCGAGTTTGCAGGGAAAATCATATTCTGGTGAAGATCCTCGGGTGATTAACTTGTGGATGGGTGAGAAATTCTTTTTCCTATTATATTGCTAGGAGTGGTCTGTGCAAAGAATAATTTTTGAGTGTGTGCTGCTCAGTGAATTAGTTACAAAGAACAGATTATTGAAAAAGGAGGAAGCTTTTTGCGACTGAAGTTGGGGGAACAATACTTTTTTGCTTTTGCTTTTGTTTTTGTTTTTGTTTTTGTTTTGTTTGGTTTTTTGGAGGATTGGGGAACAATACTTGTTATATTTGTAGAGCCATCATAGATAGGAAGATGAAAATTCCACTAGAAACTTTGCTTTTAATCTGTATGTTTTAAGTTGTGAGCTTTAATTTTTAATTTGTTTCCTTTTTTTCTCCTCTAAATTTTTAAAGAACCTCTGAAGTTGTAATATTGAAAAAAAGCAAGTTGCATCTATGAACCGTATTATACATATTTTTGTTCATAGACATTGTTACACAATTTGATGACATTGTGTTAGTATTGATTTTAGTTATCACTCCAATTATTAAAGTTGATAAGCTTTACCATTGATTTGCTATATTTTTTTCATCTTACAACTTAATTGCAATTTTCCCATTTTTGCTCATTACATGGGGTTGAAGCTTGTTGTAGACCCAGTCTAAAGAGGCGAGGCCAGAGACCATAGGCTGGGTACTTGCACTTGTCCTAAATCATAGGCTGGCATTCTTTTTGAAAAACTCTCATAAGATTTGCTTATATCTATTTTGGGTTTAGTTGTCTGTAGTTTGTCACATTGAAGTTTGAATGATGAATTTATGACGCGCATAATAAATCGAAAGGTTCTTTTTGTGTTGAGCAACATTTTTTAATGATCAGTGTGTTTTGTTGAACAATTCATTTGCTTTTGTTGTTGTTGTTCGTGCTTAAATGTTTCTTGGTGATAAAGGTGTAAGATATTTCTTTTTGTCAGTATATACGGCATCAAGTAGGTAATATTTTACCTATTCAATTATCACCAAGTATATGATATGTTAATACAAACGTAGTCTACTTTGCATTAATGTTTACCTTATTATTACTAGTATATATCGTCTTGCGGGTAAGGGAAGGGTTTCCATAGGTTTTGAATCACTTCGGGCCAATTTGGGCACATGGTTAAAAGTCAATTTTTAGCTTTCACTAAACACATAACATTTGATATACCAATAATTATATAACAATACTATAAACTCATAAAATTAGTTGGAAAAATAAATCAATAGTGTACTTCCATGGTGTGCGTGACTCACATGTTACTAACTTTAAATCTATACTATACATTTACTTTCGAGGTAAACTTGAAATAAATAGTTGGATAAATTTATAGGGTTGGGTTTTTCTCAAATGCAAATTTGAACATAACCGTTGTGTTCGGGCTAGTAGGGTCCATCATGGATTCCATTTTGAAGATTAGAACTGGTTATTAGAAAAAAATTTCACGATAATCTTGGATAAATTTATAAGGTTAAGTTTCTCTCAAATTCAAATCAAAACATGACCGTTATATTCGGGTTAGTGGGCCCATCATAGGTTCCATTTCAAAAAACTATTCATTGTCTAGGGGTCTCATGTATATCATCTATCGAAAAAATTAGATTGATCTAATAATTATAATATTTTTATTTTATCATGTTTAAAAATAGATCGTTTTTTTTTTAGACAAATTACAAATATTGAATTGAACTAATTTTTTTTATTTTTTTATTTTTATAAATAATATGTATAAAAACTCTATAAAATAAATGATTCAAATTATTAAAATAATATTCATAATGAGTCACAAGCCTAAATATGACAATCATATGTAGGTTTCAAATTAAGCCACCCCCAACCCAAATTTATATACCTACAAGATAAGTAAGATAAAGTTTATATTGACTACCCAATAGGTTACATCGTCTATGCATTGCTCATTGTCCGATCAAATGCCCAAATGACCCGATTTGTATTTGATTTGATCCCAAATGACCCGATTTGTATTTGAATCATCGAACATATTGGCATGATTTGAACTATTGATGGTAAGGGTGCAAGTCAACCGTGTTGAGAGATTGCTCAAGTTCAGATTGAATTGTGTTAAGAGTTGTTTTGGTTCACTAAAGTTTGAATTGTAACATGAGATTGTTTGTATAAGTCCAATTCAAGTCAAGCCTGAATTGTTTGAGTTGTTCGAATTGCACATATATTAGATTAATTACATTTTACCTCCCTGCACTATACCACAAAAACACATTATCTCCTTAACATTTAAAAATGTACGTATATAATTTGGAGTGAAACGCAAAACATGTCTCCGTCGATATTTTTTCAATAGTCAATTTTGCCCTTAATTTCTCTCCTAATTTTCTTTTATATGCCACTACTTTCGTTACTCCCTTTCTGAAAGCAGACAAGTCAACCATCAGTAATAGCACCACCACCACTTCCACACAGCTCAGTACCTCACCTAATACAGCCAATCCATGGCCAAATAAACAACCCTAAATAGCTACCATTCCTGTTGCAGATCCAAACAACAAGCAAGATATTAGGGAAAAATTCAAATCACAAATGGGAAACCTAATAAATAGCTACCATTCCTGTTGCAGATCCAAACAACAAGCAAGATATTAGGGAAAAATTCAAATCACAAATGGGAAACCTAATAAATAGCTACCATTCCAGTTGCAGATCCAAACAACAAGCAAGATATTAGGGAAAAATTCAAATCACAAATGGGAAACCTAATTCTTATAACAAATTGAAGGCTAACACGATATATGAGGTGAGGAAGATGTAACCACCAATGCTTTCACTATGGCAAATTAATTCCCTTGAATGTTTTTATTTTTTTTATTTTGTTATTAGCATTAATTTCCTTGAATTGATGTATGCATTTACAAATTACATGTTCACTCTAAATAGGTAAAAATTAGCAAGGCCAACACCTTTGTTTTGTGGACAACACCCAGCCACCACAAATAGTGAGTTTTATGCACAACAATTCTCTGTATTTGAGTTTATATATAGAGTCCCGCTAGGTAGCTCAAATTTACCAAGGCCAGAATGGCTTGAGGTGCCAAAACCACGTCGTTTTGAGACTTTTTTTTTTTCTTCTTTCTATTCCTTCCTCTTTTTCCTCTGTTCTGAATCCAAACTCAAATCAAAATCAAAATCAAAGAGTTTTGAAAAGAATTTTGAATTGAGTGAGAAATTTTTGATGTGACATACGATATTTGATACAAAAACTTATAACTCATAACCAAACACACAACTCAATATTTTATTAAAGCTCATAAAAAAATTTAAAAAATTCAGAAAATATTTTTTGTTGAATATATAAAAATTAACATGTATCAATTGCAAAAAAAAAAAATTGCACTGTTCCAGTCACCCGCCGGACGACCGATGAGACGTCCAGTTAGTTCAAATTTTCTCGCCTTCAACTGAGTTTTCAAAAGTGAACATCGAATTAATTTTTGAAAACTGCAAACAAACACCACGTTAGAACGTTATATTGGAACTAAAGTTCCAAAACTCAAACAAACAGAGCCTTAGTTTTGTCTCACACGCTCAGTTCAGTGCATCCATAACACATTTTTGTTAATTTTGACAGGATCTGTTAATTTTGCATTTTATTCCAAACTATCAGGAGTTTAGTTGTATATTTTTAAATGCGAGGGAGGTAACATATTTTTGTGATAAATCATACGGAAGTATATTGTAATTAACCCGCATATATTTGAGCATGTGTGTTTTTTTCCCAACTAATTAGACTCTATGGACAATTTTGTTTTATTAAATCATTAATAATATCAAATTAAATAATTTATATAATATGAGAGAGGTAAGAATTGAATAATCAATTTGCAGTTAGAATGGTCATTATAATTTCTCAGTGAGAAAAGAAAAAGAAAAAGTTTTATACTGCGTTACTTGTGTATATAATATATATTTAATATGATCTAATGATATAAATTATTTTAACATTATCTAATAATTTATATGTATATTTAATATTTTTATATATAATTCAAGTTTTGAATTGTTCATATTGTATGGTATTTGTGTCTAAATATATTCAAATTTAGGGCTAGTTTGAGTAAATCTAAAAAAGACAAAAAGTCAAAAAATTATTATTATTTACAAATTAAAAATAAATAAATAAATAAATTTATACAAAAAAAAGTACAAGCCAACTCACTTCTAAAGTGATGGTATAATTTGACTTTGTTTGCACAAATTCACAGACGGATGCACAAACAGGGCGGTACAGTTCGGTTCATGGGAGTCCATCACAGGTCCCGTTTTGATAATCTGAACCGTTTAATATGTAGAAGTTGTCGAGTACTACATGTTTATAAAAAAATCACATTGATCGGATATCGATGACTACATGATAAAATCAGTTTTGTATAAAAAAATGCATGATGAACAAATTAATGGTTCTCAAAAAACTAATACGATTAGATAGCTATCGATATTTGATCAACATGATTTTTTACAAGTATATAGTATTCGACGAGTTTAACATATTGAACTGTTCCGATTATCAAAAAGGGACCCGTAGTGGGCCATCACGGGTCAAAGAATACCGTCCAATCCGATTTCAAATTGGAGACAAGCTTCTCCCATACATGTTCTGAAGTATGCTGCCCACTGTACTGGCAATAAGTCCCAATCACTCTCAGTACGCCTTGTTTGGTAATACGGTAATTTTTTTATTTTATATAATATTTTAATATATATTTTTTCGTAAAAAGTCAAAAAATTATCCCAAACAATTATCTTTTTTTCCTATACTTTTTTTATCAAAAAAAATTAGAATATACACTTATTTAGAACACTTCAAACAACTCCTTAATTTAAACTTTTGAATTTTTGCTAAACTCTACATCGAATTCAAAAATTATTTTGTCTACGTCTTAAAAAAAATTTCAGACTGAGCCCGAGTTGCTCGATAGAGCCCGCCAAAGTTCTGAGGTTGTAGAAGCTCCTTTTCCCTTGAACATTCTGCACGACCCCTTTGGCGCTCTGCCTATTACGCCAGCTATATAACAGTGCACCTCCTTTCCTGCTCTCACACACATTGGCAGAGCTCTCCTCTTGTATTGTCTGCCTTTTTCTAGCTAGCTTGATTTCCAAGCTCCCTCTCCAATGGCTTCTTCACTTGCTCACAATCTCAAGGGGTTTGGTTCCTTCATTGTCATCCCTAAGCCCCTTTGGGCAGCTTTTCCTGCCCTTCCGGCTGCGCGGTCACTCACTCTCATACTCAACGTGAATATCTTCTTGTTTTTGTTGGTAACTTTAGCAATTAAATTTTTGAGGGTTTTTTTTTTTTTTTTTTTTTTTTTTTTTTTATGAGGTTTCATCGCTTTATTATGCAGATATATATTTCTGGTCTGTAAATTTCTCTGTTTATGGTCTATAAATTTCTCAGTGTTTCAGTTG